AGCACTCTACCACTTGAGCCACAGCACCACTTCCAGCTTTTTCTGCTTATGTGGTGCTGAGGAATCGAACCCAGGGCCTCATGCATGCAAGGCAAGTACTCTACCACTGAGCCACCTTCTCAGCCCCAGCAAGCACTATACATATTTGAAGTGATAAAGTGAAAGTTTTAGATTTGTTGAAAGGGTGCATATCTTTGAGTAGAAGGTGGTTACGTTATAGAAAAATGAATTAAGCATCCATAAAAAAAAAAAACTGGACTCCATACATCCTGAATATTCATTCAGTGGTGGGTGGTCTCCTTGGAACCATTACTCATAGATACTGAGTCTACTGTATATAACAACTTCAAAGACATATTTTAAACCCAAATTCTGGAAGTGGCGCTGTGGCTCAAGTGGTAGAGCACTAGCCTTGAGCTGAAGAGCTCAGGGACAGTGCCCAGGCCCAGAGTTCAAATCCCACAACCAAAAAAAAAAAAAAAACAACCCAAATTCTACCCATCTCCCTTGAGGTGCTAGTAACTTAACTTAGGGCCTCAAACTAGACAGGCACTCTATACCTCCAGCCTGTCTGCATTGGTTATTTTCAAGGTCTCCCTTTATGCTAGGGCCTTCTGTTTATGCCTCCCACTCTCACTGGTGATGACAGGTTTGGGCCACTTTGCTCAGCCTTTTTGTTTCTTCTGCCTGGAATAACAGAACATTCCACTTTATCCAGCCACTAGATGAGAAGGAATTCCACCAACTTTTTTGCCCTGGCTGACCTGAAACTGTAATCCACTAATCTCTGCCTCCCAAGTAGCTAAGATTACAGAATTAAGCCAACTAACCCATGGCCCAAAATACTTCTATAAATTTATCCTTAGATATGCTTGTACAAGATAAGAATAGTATAATACAAGGCTATTCAGTGAGCATTTTGTAGTTTTATTACATGTATCATAAGAAAGAGGAATACAGATAGACACGGATGGGAGAGGAGACACTTTCTATATATTTTAGTGTTTTCTTATCTATATCTATACCCTCTCCATTTTTTTTTGGGGGGGGGGGTGTTCAGGTACTGTGCTTGGGGCCTTTTCACTCAAGTTTGGCACTCTACCACTTGAGCCACACCTTCTCTTATTATCTGAATCTAAATATTTTCTCAAATTTAAGAACTCAGTAAAACAAAATCAATTTTTAAAATTCATGTTGGAGCCAGGCACAGGGCCTTACCCCTGTAATCCTAGATATTCAGGAGGTTGAAATCTATGATCACAGTTCAAAGCCAGTTCAGGCAGGAAAACCCATGAGAAAAAAAAAAAAAAAAGCATAAGTGCTGTGGCTCAAGTAGAACACTAGCCTTGAGCAGAAAAAAACAACTAAGGACAGTGCCTAGGTTCAAGCCTCAAGATTAGCATGCACACACAAAAATTAATGTTGGAGATCGAACCCATGTATGCTTAAGCACATACTCTACCACTAAGTTATTCGAGCCTCAAGTATTTAATCACTAAAGAATCCCAAGATAGGGGCTGGGAAGGTGGCTCAGTGGTAGAGCACATGCCTTGCATGCCAGAAGCCCTGGGTTCGATTCCTCAGCACCACATAAACAAAAAGCAAAAAGCCGGAAGTGGCACTGTGGCTCAAGTGGTAGAGCGCTAGCCTTGAGCTGAAGAGCTGAGGGACAGCACCCAGGCCCAGAGTTCAGGCCCCATGACCGGACCCAAAAAAAAAAAGAATCCCAAGATAAATTTTATAGCTGCTAATCAACAACCTCTGTGTAACTGTAGTTCAAGAACACTAAATACATCATCACTAAATGCATTAAATTCTCTTTAGTTGGAATTAAACTATCATGCTAAGACTGATTAAAAGCAGAAACTGGCAAAAATCTAAAAATAAAAAAATCTTTCTATAGCCAGGCACTGGTGACTCACACCTGTCATATTAGCTACTCAGGAAGGAGGCAGGGATTTTGTGTATGCCTATGTGCCTGTGTGTATACATGTGTGTGCATATGTGTACACTACTCCTATGGCTTGAACACAGTGCCTGGGCCCTATCTCTGAGCTTTTGGGCTCTAGTCTAGCGCTCTACCAATTGAGCCACACAGTTCCACTTCTAGGAGGCTATGATCTGAGAGAGGATCATGGTTTGAAGCCAGCCTGGACAGGAAAGTACAAGAGAGTCTTATCTCTAATTAACCACCAAAAAAGCCAGAAGTGGAGCTGTGGATCAAATGGTAAAGTGCTAGCCTTGAGCATAAAAGCCCAGGGAAAGCACCACAGCACCAAAAAAACAAAAACAACAACAACAAAAAAAAAACTATCCATAATTCTATCAGCAGGCCACTTCAAATATTTGGTTACATTTCTTACACACACAATGGGGACTATATTAGTTCTGGTAAACTACACTTGTATTCTTTCTCAATGTAATATTACATGACTATTAAGCCCTCAGAACAATTTTCAATAACTCAACAATTCACTAACTCAACTCAATAACTCAAAAATTGTTGGAATTGTCCATTCCCAGTTTTTGAAGATTTTTTAATGTCTCTTTTTTTTCTCTCCTGCAAATAAATCCCCAATGAAAATAAATCTCCAAAGACAAATCTGTGAACAGCTCTGATCTGTCCTAGATGTTAAAAACTGGTGCTTTAAGCCAGGCACCAGTGGCTCACGCCTATAATCCTAGCTACTCAGGAGGCTGAGATCTGAGGATCGTGGTTCAAAGCCAGCCAGGGCAGGAAAGTCCGTGAGACTCTTATCTCCAATAAACCACTCAGAAAACTGGAAGTAGCGCTGTGGCTCAAATGGTAGGGCGCTCACCTTGAGCTGAAGACACAGGGACAGCACCCAAGCCCAGAGTTCAAGCCCCACAACTGACAAAAAAAACAAAAAACAAAAAAACCCTGGTGCTTTACCACTTGAGCCACAGCTCTACTTCCAGCTTTTTGGTACAACTGGAGACAAGAGTCTCACCTACTATCCTGCCTGGGCTGGCTTCAAACTGCCATCCTCAGATCTCAAATGCTAGGATTGCAAGAGTGAGCCATCAGCACCTGTCTATTGTTTAATTCAACAGTGAGGCAAAGAAAAAGGCCACCATACTAATTTGTAACTTCACTAGAGACTATACACATAAAATTTTAACTTTATTCTTACCTATTTCTTTTCTGCATATTTGACTCCTAGCTCCATTTTGTTTTTTCCATTCGCTCAAGGGTAGAGCTCTACCATTTTGAGCCACAGCACCATTTCCAGTTTTCGGGGGATTAACTGGAGATTACAATCTCACAGACTTTCCTGACAAGGCTGTCTCAGAACCGTGATCCTCAGATCTCAGCCACCTGAGTAGCTAAGATTACAGACATGAGCTATGATACCTGGCCAGCTCTTTTTTGTTGTTGTTGTTCCAATCCTGGGGCCTGGACATTGTCCCTGAGCTTCTTTTGGTCCAGGCTAGCCCTCTACAACTTGAGCCACAGTGCCACTTCTTGCTTTTTCTGTTTATATGATACTGAGGAATCGAACTCAGGGGCTTTATGCATGCTAGGCAAGTACTCTACCAATAAGCCACAGGTTATACAGCCTCAATAACAGTTAATCAGGAAAGCTATCCAGTATCAGGTAAGGAAATGAACCCAGGGGATGCACAGGGACAGGCAGGATCTCAGTATTTTAGAATCTCAATTACAACTATCACTCAGGATTCCAAGGGTCAAACGCTCAAAAGCTGCATCTCTAGACCGTTTTTATTTTTCAGAAAGGGCCTCATACAGACTGTCCTTAAACTTCTGATCCTCTTGCCTCAGTAGGCTGAGATCATCTACAGGTATCACTACTTCTGACCTATGCTGGGTTTTGGGGGGCCAGTCCTTGAAGCTTGAACTCAGGGCCTAAGCCCTGTTCCTGAGCTTCTTTTGCTCAAGCCAAGTGCTCTATCACTTGAGCCATAACACCACTTCCAGCTTTTTCTGAATAATTTTTTGGAGATAAGAATCTCACAGACCACAAGAAATAGTTGTCTTGTCAAAGCTTATAGAATTCACAAACTTTATAAACCAAGATAATGACAATTTACCTTGTGCAGGTTAAAATGTGTTTGTGATTGTGTTTGTAAGCAGAAAAGCTCAGGGACAGTGCCCAGGCTCTGAGTCAAAGCCTCAGTAGTAGCACACACGTGTGTGCATACATACAACCTAATGAAGAGACTGAAATTCATGTAAGGGAAGAGATCTAGTTTGGAGACATTTCATACAGTCTAAAAAACAGCACAGTCTGAGGAGCATAGTTCAAAGATAGCCTAGACAGAGAAGTCTGTGAGATTTTTTTTAATATTTTTTAATTGAGATTAAGTGATAAGTTTCACAAATTTCACAGTATTGTAGGACAGTGATACTTATCTCCAATTAACCACCAAGAAACGAAGTAGAGCTATAGCTCAAAGTGGCAGAGCACTAGCCTTGAGCATAAAAGCTCAAGGACAGTACCCAGGCCCCAAGTTCAAGCCCCATGACCAAAAAAAAAAAAAAAGGTATATGTTTTCCTCTTGTTTACAGATCCTTTGTTATGAATGTCTCAGGTATAAATCAAATAATTAGCAAGAAAAGAAATCTTTCGCTCATTATAGATGCTTGTAAAGTATTTCAATGGAAATGTAGGATGGAATAGCTAGACTGAACTTTGGTTCCAAGAAAAGTTAACTGGAAATTCAAATATGGGAATCAGTAATATACATTTTTTTTTTTTGGTCGGTCCGTGGGGCTTGAACTCTGGGCCTGAGCGCTGTCCCTGAACTCTTTAGCTCAAGGCTAGTGCTCTACCACTAGAGCCACAGTGCCACTTCCAATTTTCTGGTAGTTAATTGGAGAGAAGAGTCTAACAGACTTTCCTGCCCACACTGGCTTTGAACTGCAATCCTCAGATCTCAGCCTTCTGAGTAGTTAGGATTACAAGCATGAGCCACCAGCATCCAACTATATTACCTTTTGTGTAAAAGGAATTTTCATCTATAATAGAAATTTTCATTTCTAAGTATATCTTCTCTATCAGGGAGAATCATCACAAACTATCACCAAATTTACTTTTGTTTAAGGTCTTCCTCCTGATTATCTCTTTGTAACTGGGACTCCCTCATACCCTTCTTTATTTCAGAGGAATTTGATGATTTTAAGCCACCATGACTGTCACAAATTTACTGTTTCACCTACTTCCTATGTGTATATGAGGTATATATGTTATTAAGCTTCAGGTTTGTTTTCTCTTGTTAAATCTGTCTTTTGCTACAGGGGTCAACCCCAACTAAGAAAAAGTAAGGCCGGGCGCTGGTGGCTCACGCCTGTAATCCTAGCTACTCAGGAGGCTGAGATCTGAGGATCGCGGTTCAAAGCCAGCCCAGGCAGGAGAGACCGTGAGACTCCTATCTCCAATAAACCACCAGAAAACCGGAAGTGGTGCTGTAGCTCAAGTGGTAAAGCGCTTGCTTGAGCTGAAGAGCTGAGGGACAGCGCCTAGGCCCAGAGTTCAAGCCCCACGACCGAAAAAAAAAAAAAAAAAGAAAAAGTAAGAATTACAGGAAAACTTTGAATAATAACAAAATTCAACCACAATTACAACCTAGCAATCTCAGCTAACATCATAATATTTTCTTTCCAATAACTGTTTTAATATTTTTGAAAGAGAAAGGCTTTTGCACCTACCTTTCTTTCAACCGATGACGAGTGGAGAATGAGAATTTTGGAGGACTTATAAGTGAGGAATGTAAATACTGTTACTTCTGCTATCAAAGGGACACACAAAACAATACACACAAAACAATCAAGAGGTGTACTTCTAAGCACACCAGAGTTGTTTCTTTTTTTCAACACTTCTTACCTGGTTATTTTCTTGATCTTCAAATACAAAATCTTGCTGCATAACTTCATTTTCTAAGTTACTGCCAGCCACAGGTTCTGAACAGTCTCTATTACTATTACTGGCATTAATAACATCATCAGCAATATCAACCCTAATAAGGAAAAGTAAAAAGAAAAAATGAGGCCAAGTGACAAATACATAGTGCCTCTAAAATACACATCAATGATGATCAAAACACTTATACTGTTGTTCGTTTTACTTTTGTGTGTGTGCATGTCAGTATTAGGTCTTAAACTCAGGGCCTGGGCACTGCTGCTGAGCTTTTTTGCTCAGGGAAAGCACTCTACTATCTAAGTGCTAACACTAGAGAGGAGTTGCATGGACTTTTTATTGCCCACCTAACTTTTAACTGTAATCCTTAGATCTCAGCTTTCTGAGTTGCTAGGATAACAAACATGAGTTGTCAGCACTCAGAAACTTTTATTTAAGACAGGGTCTTGGGCTGGGAATGTGGCTTAGTGGTATAGAGCTTGCCTAACATTCGTGAAGCCCTGGGTTCAATACCTCAGTACCACATAAACAGAAAAAACCAAAAGTGGTACTATAGCTCAAGTGGTAGAGTGCTATCCCTTGAGCACAACAAGATTCAGCCCCAGGACTGGCAAAAAAAAAAAAGTCAGGGTCTTACTATAGAGATCCAGCTATTGTAAAACTATTATCTTCTGGCCTCAATGTCCCAAGTGTAAGAATTAATTATATGTACTGTCTATAACTACAGAAATCCATCATTTATGTATGCTGTTAGATTGTAAAATCTGCTATTTTTTGTCTACTGGGGATATTGTAAGAGATCTTGTAAAATTTTCATAAGCATCTTCAATAGATTAGCAAAATATTGTAAAAATGATCATATTGCCAAACACAAAGTACAAATTCAATGCAATACTCAGCAAAATCTCAACATAATTCCTCACAGAATTACAGAAATAAAGCCAAAAGTACATTGGAAGGCAAAAGAGACTCCAAATAGCAAAAGTAATTCTAAATAAAAACAGTACCACTGGAAGTATCTAATACCAGACTTCAAATTATATTACAGTACCACAGTAACGAAACAATTTGGTACTGGCACAAAGAGAGACCTGAAGACCAACGGCACAGTGTAATAGATCCAGAAATAATACCACACATCTACAGTGAACTTAATTTTTACAAAGGAGTCAAGAACATACAATGGAGGGAGCTGGGAATGTGGCTTAGTAGTAGATTGCTTGCCTGGCATGCATACAGTCCCAGGATCAATTTCTTAGTAACACATAAACAGAAAAGGCTGGAAATGGCACTGTGGCTCAAGTGGTAGAGGACTAGCCTTGAGCAGAAGAAGCTCAGGGACAGTGCCCAGGCTGAGTTCAAGCCCCAGGACTGGCAAAAAAATTAATTAATTAAAAATACAGCCTGGCACTGTGCTCACGCCTGTAATCCTGCTACTCAGGAGGCTGAGATCTGAGAATCGTGGTTCAAAGTCAGCCCAGGCAGAAAAGTCCATGAGACTCCAGTTAACCAGCAGAAAACGGAAGTGGCTCTGGGGCTCAAGTGGTAGAGCACTTGCCTTGAGCTGAAGAGCTGAGGGGCAGCGCCCAGGCCCAGAGTTCAAGCCCCACGACTGACAAAACAAAAACAAAAAAACAATGGAGAAAAGACAGCCACATCAACAAATAGTACTAAGGTATCTATCTGCAGGAGACAGAAAGTATATCTCTCATCCTGTATGAAAATGAACTCCAATTACACCAAATAGGTCAAAGTAAGAACTTTTAAGTATACTACAGGTCACAGGTCAATGTTTGCTGAATTAGGGTTTTAGATGCACAGAGGATTAAACAGAGAAAGAATTGACAAAGAATTGACAAATAGGACTATGTCAATTTAGTGTTTCTGAGCCAGATGCTAGTGGCTTACTCCTATAATCCTAGCTACTCAGGAAACTGAGATCTAAGGATTGTGGTTCAAAGCCAGCCTGGGCAGGAAAGTCCATGAAAACTCTTTTTTTGGGGGGAGGAGGGGGTCCAATCGTGTGGCCTAAACTCTGGGCCTGGGCACTGTCCCTCAGCTCTTCAGCTCAAGGCTAACGCTCTACCACTTGAGCCACAGCACCACTTCCAGTTTTTTTCTTTTTGCTTATGTGGTGCTGAGGAATCAAACCCAGGACCTCACACATGCAAGGCAAGCGGTCTATCACTGAGCCACCTTCCCAGCCCCCATGAAAACTCCTATCTCCCAATTAACCACCAGAAAACTGGAAGTGATGCTGTGGCTTAAAGTGGTAGAACACTAGCCTTGAGGGTAAAAGTGAAGGGATAGCACCCAGGCCCTAAGTTCCAGCCCCATCAATGACCAAAAGCCAAAAAAGTCTCACAGACTTTTCTGCCTGGCTGGTTTCAAAACATGACCCTTACATCTCAGCCCGCTTAGTTAGGGGCATGAGACACAGGCACTCTGATTAATTTGAGCGTGTTTTGAAGTTATTTTTCATATAACATAGTTCCTTTCATGACAAGTTCCTTTAATGCCCAATGGCTCACACCTATAATCATAGCTACCCAGCATGAGATCTGAGGATCGAGGTTCAAAGCCAGCCCAGATAGGAAACTCTGAGATTCTTTTCTCCAATTATCCACCAAAAATCAGAAAATGAAGCTGTGGTTCAAGTGGCAGGGCCCCAGCCTTGAGTGAAAAAGCTAAGGACTATAACTGGGCCCTAAGCTCAAGCCTACGGACCGAAACCAAAACAAAAAAAAAATTTTTAAAATGACAAGCTCACTGCTTCAACCAATGTTCAAGAAACAAAACCAGATTATGCTGGACTTAATAATATGATATTTTATGGGTGAGAAATTACCTTTTCTTTTTTCATCATGGGGCTTGAACTCTGGGCCTGGGCGCTGTCCCTCAGCTCTTTAGCTCAAGGCAAGCACTCTACCACTTGGGCCACAGAGCCACTTGCAGTTTACTGGTGGTTTATTGGAGATAAGAGTTTCACAGACTTTCCTGACCCGGCTGGCTTTGAACCAGGACCCTCAGATCTCAGCCTCTTGAGTAGCTAGGATTACAGGCATGAGCCACTAGCACCCAATTTGAGAAATGGCATTTTCAATGTTAACTAAGAGTATAAAATTCAAGGCTGGACCCTGAGAGCCCATGCCTATAATCCTTGTTACTTAGGAGGCTGAGATACAGAGGATTGCAAGGTTATAGTTTAAGGCCAGCCCAGGCAGAAAAGTCCATAAAACTACATCTCCAAAAAAGCAGGGCTGGAGGTATGACTCCAGAGGTAGAGTAGTATCCAAAAAAACAAGAGGCTATGAGTCTGAAACAAGGGTAGGGCGAAAGTCTGGTGAGGATCTGATGTTCAGAAATCCCCAAGAAGGGGCTGGGAAAGTGACTCAGTGGCAGAGTGCTTGCCTCACATGCATGAGGCCCTGAGTTCGATTCCTCAGCACCACATAAACAGAAAAAGCTGGAAGTGGCGCTATGGCTCAAATGGTAGAGCACTAGCCTTGAGCTGAAGAGCTGAGGGACAGCACCCAGGCCCAGAGTTCAAGCTCCACAACTGACCCAAAAAAAAAAAAAAAAAAGAAATCCCCAAGAAAAGACCCAGTTATTTAAGAAAAAATATTTTTAGGGTAACAATTATATAACTTAAATAATGTCAAAATAGTTCTTCCTGGCTATTAGGTCTTTCCTCATCACTCTTAGAACTCCCTGCTTCATTATTACACACCAGATTTAAATTCTTAAAATCATAATCTATAACTGCCCTACAGATAAAAAATGTGGCTATTCTAATTTTTTTCTTTCTAAAATTCTGCAAATACAACAGGTCAGTAAGTTGGCTTAACTGGGCATCAGTCACATAACTTAAATGTTAAATCCTATGACAATTATGGCATTTGAATGATAACTCAAAGAACAAAAAACAAAACAAAACAGGGGCTGGGAAGGTGGCTCCGTGGTAGAGCGCTTGCCTTGCATGCCTGAGGCCCTGAGTTCGATTCCTCAGCACCAAATAAGCAAAAAGAAAAAAGCCAGAAGTGGCGCAGTGGCTCAAGTGGTAGAGCACTAGCCTTGAGCTGAAGAGCTGAGGGACAGCGCCCAAACCCAGAGTTCAGGCCCCACGAATGGACCCAAAAAAAAAAAAAAAAGGAACAAGTGGGACACTGGAGCACTAGAGGCTTATGACTATAATCCTAGCTACTCAGAAGGCTGAGATCTGAGGATCATGATTCAAAGCCAACCTAGGCAGGAAAGTCTGTGAGACTCTTATCTCCAATGAACCACCTAAAGGCCAAAAATGGAGCTGTAGATCAAGTCATAGAGGCTAGTCGAGCAAAAAAACTCAGGGACAGTGCCCAGGACATGAGTTCAAGACCCAGGACCAAAACAAAAAATAATAAAATTAAGTAAAATTTGTCCAAATACATGATTCTACACAAATCAACTATATATAATGTTGCTGGAGAGAAAAGGACCAGTTTTCTAATAATTCCTCACTACATGTGCTTGTGTGTGTCTCCCTCTCTCCCCATTCTTCCTCTTCCCCTCTTTTGTGCCCAGGACTAGCACACACAAAAGAGAAAGGGGAGGGGGGGGGATTTCTTTCAAAGCTAAGTCTATGGGTTTGGAGGCTTGGCTCCAAACACAGAGCACTAGCCAATGAACAAAAAGTAAGCATCAGATACTGAGTTTAAAAAAAAAAATTGGGGGGCCTGGGAAGGTGGCTCAGTGGTAGAGCGCTTGCTTGCATGCCTGAGGCCCTGGGTTCGATTCCCCAGCACCACATAAGCAAAAAGAAAAAAGCCGGAAGTGGCGCTGTGGCTCAAGTGGTAGAGCGCTAGCCTTGAGCGGAAGAGCTGAGGGACAGTGCCCAGGCCCAGAGTTCAGGCCCCACGACCGGACCCAAAAAAATAAAAAAGAATTATGAACACTCACCTACATACACTCTAAGAATATTCCTTTTACTTTTTTTATTGTTTAGTTTTTGTTTTATACTGGTCCTGGGGCTTGAGCTGAAAGGCCTGGGCACTATCTGTGAACATTTTTGCTCAAGGCTAGCACTCTACCACTTGAGCCACAGCTCCATTTCCAGCTTTTTTAGTGCTTAAAGTCTCACTGACTTTCCTGCAAGCTGGCTTAGAACTCCAATCCTCAGATCTCAGCCTTGAGTAGCTAGAATTACAGGCATAAGCCACCAGCACCCAGCCAGAACATTCAATAGTTATCAACATATCAAGATATAACAACATTTTTGCAATTACTTCAAAGGATACTATTTTAGGAGAAAGTTTTTTTTTTGTTTTGTTTTGTGCCAGCCCTGGGGCTTGAACTCAGGGCCTGGAGACTGTTCCTTAGGTTTTGAACTCAAAGCAATGCTCTCCCACTTGAGCCACAGCTCTACTTCTTTTTGATGGTTAAATGGAGGTAAGTGTCTCAGGGGTTTTCCAGCCTGGGCTGACTTTGAACCACAATCCTCAGATCTTAGCCTCCTAGTAGCTAGGATTGCCTCTATGTCACCAGTGTATAACTAGGATCTAAAATTTATCTGAAGAAAACTCATCTGGGGCTGGGAAGGTGGCTCAGTGGTAGAGCGCTTGCCTTGCATACCTGAGGCCCTGGGTTTGATTCCTCAGCACCACATAAGCAAAAAGAAAAAAGCCAGAAGTGGCGCTGTGGCTCAAGTGGTAGAGCGTTAGCCTTGAGCTGAAGAGCTGAGGGACAGTGCCCAGGCCCAGAGTTCAAGCCCCACGACTGGACCCAAAAAAGAAAAGAAAACTCATCTGAAGCTGTGCATGGTAGTGGATGGCTATATTCCCAAAAGGAAGCCGAATCAGAAGATTACAAGTTTGCAGTTAGCCTGGGACACATAAGGAAGACAACAAAATGAAGACAAGGACAAAGAAAAAGGAAAAGCAGAAGTAGCCACTATCACTATGGTATCTTAAACCTGAAATCCTTGCTAGTTGGGTAGGGAGATAAGTATTGCAATATAATGTAGCAGGGGCATACAAGCTCAAGACTCCTTCTAATCAATGGCTGAGCCCAGTTGTTCCCACTCTTGTTATCCCAGTTACAGGAAGAACACAAGTAGGAACCCCCAGGCTGCCTCCAGCACAAAGTGAGACTACCTGAAAAATAAGTAATGCAAATACAGGATAAAAGTGAGGCTCAAATTGTAAACTGCCTAGCAAGTGTAATGCTCTGAGTTTAATCCCCAGTACTGCCAAAGGAGAAAAAAAAAGGAAAACTCACCTCCACCACATGTATTAGTGGAAAGTTTCACATGTTCCTATTATGATACATAAATAACTAGTTTAATATCTATATACACTCTTTCCTCTCAAATGAGCACAATAAATTCATATTTTTACAGCTTAGTAATATTTTTAAATTTCTAAGTTTGTTTTCTATATATATATACTACTTACTCTGCAGAGGCTGGTAAGATGCTGGCAGGAGATATTTGGGCACTGAAATCAAAGAAATTAGCTATGAAATGTTTCAATATTAAATTACTACAAAATGTGCTGAGAAACTGACAAACTTTGTATTGTCTTGATATATAACCAGGAGAGGGCACTAATTTTAAGGTTTTCAGTTAAATATCAGGTTGGAAATATTCTCTGAAACTTGTTAAAAGTTTCAAATATAAACAAAAAAATTTGATTTGCAAATACTTTTTTGGGGTCCGGTCGTGGGCGTGAACTCTGGGCCTGGGCGCTGTCCCTCAGCTCTTCAGCTCAAGGCTAGCTCTCTACCACTTGAGCCACAGCGCCACTTCGGCTTTTTTTTCTGCTTATGTGGTCCTGAGGAATCGAACCCTTCCCAGCCCTGATGTGCAAATACTTTTAAAGACTTTTTCATCTTTCTTTTGTTGGCAATACTGGGGTAATCTTCCACTTGAGTTATGTCCAGCCTTAAGAAAATTGATGTAATTAAATAAGATCATAATTGTAGAAGTATTTATTGAATATTTATTATGAGCTAAAGTTTGATATGCTGGGAAGGTGGCTCAGTGGTAGAGCGCTTGTCTTGC